TATACGTTTGATTAAGCATTTAAACACACAAAAAATACCAAATACAAAATTTGGCTACTTAATGCCAGTTTCACCAAATATAGCCAAAAATACAAAATCACATTTATATACCATTTGGCTTTTATTGTCACATAATACACCACATATACATTATTACTACATATATACAACATTCCTTACACTTGTATTAGTATTTTAGCTTTTCACTATAAAAATTACCACATATTCACATAATATACAACATTGAGTTAAAAATACTCAATAGTATAGTATAACATAAGTACAACCAATTAAAATATCATGCATACTTAGTTGGCAACTCATGTTATCATCCATTTAAGTTTACTTACACAGATCAAAATAAAACAAGGCATTACAAGTACAAATGGAACTAAATAGCTAATCCTTACTTAAACTCGACGGTGGAACCTGTAAAGTAATAACCATAAAGTGAGATAAAAATTTTAGTAACTAAGATAATCTATAATATCGATTAACATGATAAGTTATAAACAAGTCTTAAAATATGCATAACAAAAACACCATACACAAATCACCATAATTTAAATGCATGATCACTAATCATCCAATCTTCCAATACTCCTAACTAAACTAATGGGATATTTTGCAGAACTAAATCACATGTATGGTCACCAAGCTCACAATCTATGATAAGACTACTTGGCTAAGGTGTCTTAAATTGCTTTTGGACAACAGGTTTCCTCGATTATGAGTAATTGGTGTGTCATTACTCCAACATCGCATCCTACAGATACTAAGGAACATAATCTCTAACTCTGCACCCTACTGGGTACTCAAGAGCATAACTCTCCAACACTGTTCCCTTTTCGGGTACTAAGGAGAAGTATAAGATGCACCTGAAAGTACCATTAATGCCATATGGACTTAATTTTTACTAACTTTACTAAGGTGACCTCCCACCCTCTAACATGTCATATTTCACTACATATCTCCACTTGATCATGCATAACCACTTTTTAAAACAAGCATAATGAATCTTACTCTTACTTCAAAAATCATGAAATTTCACAAATCAATATTCCACACATTTTCTAAAATACTTAACTTTTACAAAATTCATATATGTATATACAACCAATTACACAAAACAACTTGTGAATAACTTATACAAGGTAATAAATAATATAAATTATCTAGTTACCTCAACCTTTTTGTTACTAAAAGGGTTACCCATGATACTAAATATCCTATTATGTTAAAGCAATTTTTTTCACACCACAATCTACAATAATAAGTACTATATATTAATTTTTAATTAACACAAGCACTATTAGCTAGTAATATAATCCCAGTTCTCCCACTTCTCACTCATATTCTCAACAAAGAGACTTGTCAATATTACAATTTGTTCACAATCTAACTTTATCAAAACATTACATTTAATATCTCAACTTATCACACTTCAAAACCCCATAATCAAGATAGGGCTTGATCCAACTTATACCAAACAACAATTAAGCTTCATATTACCACTTATCCATGGTTAAGAAACTTAAATCAAACCTTGATAATCATTTAAAATCTTTAAAACCTAGACTCATAGCTTAATCCATTCAGAGCAAAATTTACCCACTTCACAAATCCAATGAAGATGGGATGTAGAGGTAGAAGAAAAAGGTGGGAAACTTACTTAAGAATTTGAAGGCCCAATTTAGATCGAAAATCCTCCCAAATTGAAGCCCTAGCAGTGCCTAAAATCTTCTTCTTCGAGTTCTAAGCTTTCCACAACCAAAACTGCCTTTTTATATTGATTTTTGAAATTTAGACTTGTCTAACTGTGCCGTGCGTCGCAATAAGCAAAAAGTCACTTTTACTTCCCTTAATTCGATCCAACTTTCATCCTAACTTAATTTAGAGCCAAATATGACCCAATAAGATAATTAGTAACTTGGAAACATGATTAAATTAATTAATCATTTTTAACTAATTTATCCCTTAATTATCAATTTATTCTAGATTTAAAATTTTTGGATGTTATGTTTGGGTCTTTTGGTAACATCTTCACTAGGCCTCTTGTGTTGTTTATCAATAGCCATTTGATGAATAATATCAAAGGGTTCTCATCTTAAATGGATGTATTTGCTTTGGTTCATGACTCTAATGAGGTTTCTTTCTTTTTCTCCCCCTCTCCCACTACCTTTACCCATGCCCACAAAATAGATCATAATTTGGCTTTATTGATGATGCAAATTAAAATGTAACATCTTTATTATATTTAGCCTATGAACCACTTTTAGCATGCTTCCTTAGTCAATTAATTCCACCTATTGTTGTAAAAATTCACTTTTTACTAACTTTTATCATTTCAATACGTGCAAAAGAATCTTAATTTAGTTCTCTTCACTTTTAAGGATTCAATATGTAAAGGGTTATAATTGGATGAGAATAAGAGAGAGATAAGCAACAAAAAAGAGATCTAAGTATTTTTTTTCAAGGCCATGTGCCCCATTGTCACTTCCCTTTTCCCTATTATTATTTCCCTTTCCGTAGAGATAATAATTAGTTTGGAATATTTGTATATTTTATCAATATCTTGTCACATCTAAAACCATACTAGTTGCCAATGCTCTTTGCCCCATTGTCATACCCCCTTACCCAGTTGTTATTTCCTTTTGTCTAATGGTAAATAATGGGTTTGATGTTCACGTGATCACATAGTTACAATTATGGCATAACACTTCCTTGGATAAGGATGGTTATGTGATGACAAAATAATTTCAAGTATGAATGTTTTGTGGACCTTTTGACTCTAACATGAAATCTATATTAATGCAGTGAATAATGTAACTAATCTATTGATGTAGGATGACCTCTGGAAGAAGGTTGAATGCTTGTGATGGCTTGTTAATCATCACAACAATGAGAAGGAACCCATTATCATGTCTATGTTATTAAGATCCAACCATAACAAAGAGAGAAAATAAAATGGCTATCCAAATTCTGCGATCATTTTAGGATATAACTTTTTTGCCCATTATGTGTTTACCTTGTTACAGTGTTATGAACTTTTTGAATTCAATCATTTTTTATAGTTCACTTTGTAGATGCTTATATAAAAGGTGAATATAAGTTTTAATTTCAACCACAATGGTAAGTACATGTTTTTCAACAAAATGTAATTACTAACAAGTGGCCTTTACGTTCTCCCTCCCTCCCCCCCTCATGCACACACACACATAATAAACCAATAGGTGTTAACAACTTTGTTTCATATCAACTATTTACAACTAGATGAAGGGAAATAACAATAGGACAAGAGGGAATGATAATATGGCAAAAGACATTGATGACAGATATAGTTTCAATTGTAACAAGATACTAATAAAATGCATAAGTATTATAGACTAGTTATTTACCCTTAGGCAAAGGAAAATAACAATAAGGAAATGAGGAATGAAAATGGGACAAAATCACATCGACAACTAATATAGTTTTAAGTATGATAAGTATTCATAAAATACAAAAGTGTTTCAAACTAGTTATTTACCATTAGGTAAAGGAAATAACAATGAGGCAAGGGGGAATGATAATGGGGCAAAAGATATTGACAACTGATATAGTTTCAAATGTGATAAGATACTAATTAAATGTATGTGTTACAAACTAGTTATTTACTATTAGGAAAAGGGAAGTAACAATAGCTAAAGGGGGTGACAATGGGTAAAGGAAAATTACCATGACATGTATTGATAGCAAGACAATATTTATTGACAACAAGGCATGGGAAAATTACTACTTCCTATACTAAATTGACAATAAGGTTGACATTAGAATTCACAAGTTCATGCACAAAATATAGTGCAACTTTAAAAGCAACTTCCTTGTTATTACATGATATATTCACAACCCATTCCCAAAAAAAAAAAAATTCCATGGATATTTATACAATATTTTTAAAACTAACAAGATTTAGTGGCTCTAAGAATGTTTGATTTATTATCTTGGCGTTGCTTTCAAATGCATGGATCTCATTCTCTCTCTTGTTCTCACCTAACAATAAACCTCTGCATATTGAATCCCTAAAAGTCAAGAGAAATAAATTAGTATTCTTCTACACATGTTGCAGTGATGAAAGGCAGTAAAAAGTAAACTATCACAACAACAGGTTGAGATAGCAACTAACTAAGGAAGCATGCTAAAAATAGCTTACAGATTGAATATAAAGAAGACATTGTATTTTAGATCTTAAATAAAGTCAAATTATGATATGTTTTGTGGGTGTGGGTTAAGGTAGTGAGAGAGAGGGAAAGAGAGAAACCTTATTAGACTCATGAACAAAAGCAAATATATTAATTTGAGATGAGACCCCTCCAATATTCTTCTTTAAGTGGCTATTGATAAACAATACAAAGACTCACTGAAACTATTACCAAAAGACCCCAAAACATCTAGAGCCATCAAAAACTAATATTAAGAATTGATATGCATGGAAATGGATTGAATATGCCCTTGCTTCAATTCTCCTTCTCAACTTCAGCCTAGCCATTCAAACCTCAACTTATTGTTACCTTAATTTTTTTTTTTCTTGTCCATCACACATGAACGCCTCTCTTTTCTTCATTCTTTCCTATTAATTCAATTAGGATAAATGGATCATCTTGCTTGCAAACATATTCACATATAAGAATCAAAGGAATTTTTTTTTTTTGCCAAAATAAGAATCAAAGGATTACACAATATTTTTGCCACTTGGTGGGGTTTGATAGTAGTTATATTTGTTGTGAGGAATTTAAGCTTGATTTTCTCTTCCTCTTCTTCTTCTTCTTTTTTTTTTTATGAAACCGGCGGGTTTATTTTAGGAAGGATAATATAGAGGTCCTAATGAGACATATTAACTCACATTAAAATTTGGAAATTGAAACATAAGTTATAAATTGTATCGTAATAAAATTTAAAAATTGAATGAACTCATAAATTCTCGAACCTTGAAACTTGATATGAATTAATTTATCCTTTTGAATCTATCTGTCATTGTCCCTCAACCTCTAGCACTCCATCTAACGCTCAAGCCCTCAGTCACTTAACTCGCTGTCTCAGCTACCGCCACGCTCGCTGCCGCTCAACCTCAGCGCCGTGATCGCAGTTGCATCTGATTCCTTTTCCACTCGCCGTTCTCAGCTCCGGTCTTGTGTTCGCGTTCGAAGACCATTCTCACGCTGTTCTTTACTTCTTCGAAAATCCCCAATTTCCAAAGTTCCCTCCCTTCTCAGTGAGTTCTCTCTCCTTCTGTGGTTGAAATCCTTATCCTTAATTTGATTAAAGCTCATCCACCCTCAAGTTGTTGCAGCAATTATTCTTTTCAATAATGGCAATTGTTTTGGTATACAATCCAAGAGCCCTAGTCTAGAAATAACAGTAGAAACTGACCTTGTATAAGCACTGACCATTAAGGTGACAACATTCATATTTGCATCCTCTTTATATGTTGGAGCTTTTATTATTGCTCATTCTTTTTTATTCAAAATCATGGCATTCGACGGGCCAACTCTTCTCTTACTGTTGAAAAAGATCCTCAGAAGACATAAAAGCTTCTGGTTAGTGCTAAATATTATTTAAAGAAATTCTTCTTGATTCATTTAAAATATGGTTGAAGTTATATTTCTGGTTTTCTAATTATAAATGAGTTACACCTTTTTGCTATGTTTTTCAAAACTTTTTGGTTGATGTTCCAGACCGGTTCTGTTAGTAATGTGATGTCTTTGGCTCCTTTGATTTGAGCGGGGAAGTCTTGGCGCCTTGGGTATGTTGAATTTGCTCTTTTTTTTTTTTTTTAGTGTAATGACTGTTTCACTCGTTACTATTCTTTTTCATCTCTGTATTCACCCATATTGCTTGATCCATATTGGAGTTCATGTGAAAAGAATCAACTGATAATGCATTATCTCTTAATGGTACATCTTTCATGTCACAAATTGTTATGGTATTATCTCCCATTTAAGGGGATATTCAGGGTTGCACAGTGTGTATGAGTTGGCCTGTGTGCTCTTTTATGAAAAAGCGTCTATTCAAAATTGATTATTGATTAACCAATATTTTTACACGTGAATCCACAACATATATATGCTAGTCTGCAATGATGATATGCAAGAATTTCCTTTTTGTCTTAACACATGACACATCTCTTATGTGTATAGTGTATGTCTTTTTTTTTTTTTAATCAATTCAGAAAGTTCTTTTCTTGCTCTGAGGATTAGTTTGCTAGTCTTTTAGATTGTATAATTGTGTAATTATACTTTAAATAAACTTCTACTTTGGTTATGCTTCCGTCCAAATTAAAACTTCTACTTGTATTATATATTTATCTTATTACTCTTATTCTTAATATCTAAGATGTTCATACTCATCTCTATTTTCAGGATGAGAAGCTTAATGAACAGTGTGGTGTGGTGGCTCCTTAATTTTCAAGAATTAAAGTTTAAGGTCTATTGACTTGGAGTGTAACTATTTCCAAAGATGATTTTACTTTCTTGTAAAAAAATATTATTTGTTTCCTTTTAATTGATGCCAGCTTGTATCATCGCACTTTACCGTATGTAAAATTTACTATATGTATAAATGATTTTTCAGATTTCTCACAATGTGTGTGAGAATGCTGAAAATTTGTAATTTTTTTTAATTTCAATGTAGCAACCATTGTAGCCTATTAGTGAGTCCGTATAAGATAACGGTGCTTTAACTGCTTTATACCATTGATGATCTTGCTGCGCATAATATTATTGGCCTCAGGACTGAGGAGCATAATCATCCATAGCAATAGCATTATGTTTAATCTCTGTGTCCAGCTTAGACGTATTTCTTTTGAGCAAGTCTTATTCTTGAGGCAGGCAATTGAGTTTTGAAAACAGGGGAAGGAGTTCCAGAGAACTGATGGTAATAGAGAAGCCTGTCTTAATTCTTCAAGCAGCTAAGCTGCTAGTTTGATAGTTTTTGTACTTCTTGGTGAAACAGCTGTCTCCCTTCGGCCAAAGCCCATCTGGATCCAAATCTGAGAAGCCCTTCCCTTGCCATTTGTGGCGGCCAATGCATCTCCCAGAAACCCTAAAATGGTCAGCACTGCCCTCACCAGACGATGAAGCACACATGGAAACTCTCCAACGCAGCCCAAGCAGAGTTGTTCTGCTTCCACAGAACCTCTGCAAAACCAAAACCCCTTATCCCCTTTCCTATCTTCCTCCTAAGCTCTGCAAATTACGTATGCACCACCCAAGTCAATACCTACACTCAATCCTCCGAACATTCCATGCTCCGTGAGATCGTTGGTTTATTCTCCTACAATCCCTATTTCCATAATTGGATAGCCAGAGAGGATTTCAAAAGGGAAGTTATGAACTTGGCATGTAAATTGGTTCGGGTAGCCGATGACCCTAGTGTAGTTCTTAATGTTTTGGAGAAGAATTCTCAGTTTTTGTTTTGGAGGTGTCCTGATGGGACAGCCCTTGTTGATCTTTTGGATGTGATGGAATCATGGTCTCACTTGTCTCTAATGGTATATTTGAATTTCAACAGATGCAGTTGATCTGATTTCATGTCTAATTTGATGGGTAGAATTAGTGTGTCCCACTTTTACTTCGTCTATATCTCTTGAAAGTGTGGACACACACTTGGAGTATTGTATAACATTTGTATGAGAAATACGTGTTTTCACTTGCAAATTCGTGAATGAATGCTCTTCAGCATATTTGGACACTCGAGAAGAGAAACTATAAGTTCTGAGTGGTACGTGACCATGATATGAGGCCTTGTTCGGTTCTTGTTACATGTTTTCAGTTCTGTCCACTAGTACTATTTAGATCCGCAAAATTGACTTGGATATTAGGCGAGATATTAAGGTTTTTTAAGTGTGGCAGGACATTTCAAGTTGGTGATAGGTGACAACTGACAACAACCGTATAGTGGTGTTATTTTAAACCTAATTCAAATAAAAATTTAAAATTCTTCTGCTGACTTTTTCTTCTGTTTATCCGTCTTAACGTTCAGGTTTTATATTGGACCATAAAAGTTTCTTGGCACTTCCATGGCTCCTTCCGAGTACTCTAAGGGTATCAAAGTTGCAGGTAGATCTAGAAATATTGATCTTACAGTTGACCTGTTTAATGAAGCTGCAAACAAGCAAATAAAAACAACAGGTATTTATAATTCGCTGATGGCTGCTCAGATGTTAAATGGTCTTCCTGGGAAATGCCGGTCATTATTTGTGCGGATGAAGATGGTTGAAACTTGTAGCCCTAACGTAATAACCTACAATATTCTTATTTCTGTTTTTGGCCGCTTGATGCTCATAGATCGTATGGAAGCAATATTTGAGGAGCTACATAATTCAGGCCTCTCCCCGAATATAAGCACTTATAATTATTTGATTGCTGGGTATGTTACAGCCTGGAGGTGGGATAGAATGGGAAAAACTTTTCAAGTGCTAAAGTCAAACCCTTTTATACCTGACACTCATACCTGCTGATGATACGTGGGCATGCTAATTCAGGTAATCTGAAGAAGATGGAAGAGACATATCAGTTAGTGAGGGATTATGTCAATGAGAATGAAATTCCTTTGATCAGGTGCATGATGTGTGCATATAGTAAAAGTTCCGAGCCTGATAGAGTGAAGAAGATACAGGAATTACTGGTGTTGATTCTGGAAAAGGAGTACAGGGCATGGCTAAATGTGTTGTTAATTAGGCTTTATGCACAAGAGCACTCCTTAGAGGAGCTGGAGAACTCAATGATGCATTTGAGCACAAAGTCTTAGTAAGAACAAGTGGTATAATGAGATGCATCACTGCGACTTATTTTAGGAAAAACTTAGTGGACAGGTTAGAAAATTTTTTGAGGCGTGCTGAATGTTCCAACTGGAAAATTTGCCTCTCCTTATACCGTTGTAAGATGGTCATGTATGGATCACAAAAGCGCTTTGAGGAAATTGGAAGTGTCCTGAATGAGATGGTAGGTGTCAACTTGAGTTTGACAAAGAAAACATTGTGGATTTTGTATAAAGCTTATGTAAGTTGTGATCAATGGTCCAAGGTTGGGAAAATATTGGGACTCATGTGCAAGCATGGATTTGATTTTCCAGTGAGTGCAGTCCCATGGTAAAAAACATTTTTTGGAGCATTATTGGCGACCCACAGATAGATGAATTAATTGTGTAATGAATATCTTTACATTGGTCTGCTGAATGCATCTGTGCTGCTGGACATCAATACGCAACCCCCTGCAGTATGTTTCGTGATGGGAATACATTTAATGGATATTCGTGCCAATGCTTGAGCAAAGCTCTTCATTGCTTCTAATGTACAACCATCTCTGTGGCATGGGGGTCTTAAACAGTTTATATGTGTGCCTCTTTTCTCGAAGTGTGTCACTTACGAGCTTTTATGAAGGAGCTGCGTTTTTACTTAAACCCCAATTTTTTTTAATGCTCTGGTGCATAATGCTGTGGAGATCGGACGGCTTTGTTTTCTGCCTTGGAAGAAATCTTGTCCCCCGTCTAGTTGTACTTTTTTCATTTAAAAAAAAAAAACTAATTGGTAAACTGAATGTGTTTGCCCATTACTCCCCCTTCTCCAAAACAAAACCAAAAAAAAAAAATGCTGGTTTGACTTGCAGGCATCAATTATTGTGGAGTTGCTGTATAGGTGCAGTCTTTGGCAGATGAAGGGTGTTGCCTCCAGAATCCTAAATCGGATCCCCATTCCACCTAGGCTGATATCGCTTGTCTGCCAATAATTCAATGTTCATAATCATGGAATCCTGTAAAAACTACAATTGGATGAAATAGTGCAGATGTTGCTTCGGTTCAGAGACTATGAAAAGCTTCAAGTTGTGGAACTTTTCAAGAGCATGGATGATGTTTAATAGGTCAACTACATTTGGAACGACCATGATTTGGAGTAGGGATCAACCATAATGATACTAAGTAGCATTGTGGCATCTTTGTAATAGTGCCTGGATGAGAGTTGATCGTTGGTGAATCAAAGCTAGAAAGCATATTAAGCTGCAGTCCAGCTTTAGAGCTGACATCGCTAACTTTTCATCAGTGTGTCTGGCCAAACACACACAAGCATGCGTGAATGGCAAGAGTTTGAGTTGTCTAGGGTCGTATAATTGCCCTTCGTTCAGTATGGGCTCGGGACCCTTTTAATCTCCATTTCATTATGAAACAAGTTAATTCTTTCTAATTTGAGATGGCATTGCTATACTATTGGCAGTTTAATCTTTCAATTAAGAATTCGATAATATGTTCATATATTTCAATCCCAGAACCGACAGTCCAACCCGTTGTGCTCTTGCCCGATGATAGATTAGTCTTGCATTCAATTGTTTGGGAGGGTTGTTTTGAGGGGAAAAAACAAGAAAAGGTTTAAATCATATTTGCTACGTGCTAATCCTACAAGCGTTTGGTTTTCACATTGACTCGCATTAAGCCAATGACAAGTATGCTTTTACACATAAATTTGTCAGATTTCACGAGGGCGGGGTTTAGGAATGAAATTAACAGGCATTTTAAAGTTGTTCTTATAAACATTAAAAAGGATCGAAGGGAAACATGAGCAAGTATTTTGGCGAACATGGATGTCAAAGGCAAAGGCAAACTCTTTCGTGACGTTGAAAAATGAAAGCAGACTAGAACAACCATTTTTAAGCACAGGCCAATATGCATGAAGTTTTACTGAAAATATGTATGAGTTTGGTTCAGAACGCCTTATTTGGTAAAACATAGACGAAACTTCAGGTGGGGCTTCGATCCAATTCTTAGGGGATTTGATTTCATGAATCATGGCGTGCGTGCTGGGAAGCTTGGTTGTTGCTCTTTTGTTGTTTCTTTGGGCCGAGGATATTTATAGTCATTGGGCTGAACAAGGAACTATCAAAATGGGCCCAACCTCAGGCCCACTCGGGTCATTAACTCCTTAAATCCAGTAACATAAGCTGGCGAGTTTTAAGCCATGTATTCTGTGGCAGTTAGAACAATTTTTTTTTTTTTTAATGAGAGCAGTTAAAACAATTTTATTTGTTTTTATCTTATTGTTTCTCATGTGGTTGACAAGGGGCGTGGATTCCCTTATCTGGCCGATAAAATAATTGTTACTTTGAATAAATTGTTTGTGCTGGGGGGGGTTTATTTTTTCACCAGCAAATGTCAAACTAAATTGATGAAGTTATTGTTTCCTTAAATCACATTCTCACCTCCTTTGATTGACATAAATCAGTCAACACTTCATGAATGGTTTCTTTTTCAATATTTTTCAATAATGATTATACATGTTAAGCCGTCCAAATAAAAGTGAATTTGAATCCATATAGGAATTGAATGAAACTAAACTCAATAAATAATATTAAATAAGGTAAAACAATTTATAAATTTGAGCTTTAATTTAAAATTTTAAATCAAGATGTACTGTCCGTTCTATTACTTTTCGTTCATTTGTTCTCTCCTCACATATCAAGCACAAATACGCAGGGAATTGAGATTTGAATTAAGAACGAGAAAAGAGGATGAAAAGAGTCGAGGATAGGCATGAAAGCAAAAGAGGTGAAAAAAAGCACAGCAATGCAGTGCACCGACAAAATAAGAAAAGATGGCCTTTTTATTTTCAAAGGTAACGAGTGGGAGCTACGTTTGTTTGTTTGTTGCCATGTTTTCTTGTGACCACCCTCTTCGTATTTCCTCAACATCCTCTTCCTCGTGCTTCCCTCCGTAATCATACCTACCACCATCCCACTTTTTGTATGTTCTCGTGTTCCTTCCTACAAGCCACAAATTCAGTCACTTCATATGTGGTCATGATATTTTGTATTCATACACTGCTTTGCATCTCCACCATGAACCCATCACACAAAAAGAAATATCACATTGCGTATATATTTTGCTTTCCCATTGTTAAGTTGTTTCCGAATCGATCTGCTTTTAGGAGGCCAAGTGTCACCAACAGTTTGAAAATACAGGCACATCAATGGCTTAATAACTAAGCTATTCAAAGGATAAGGCTTAGCTTCCATTTTCCAAATCACCTACTGTTGACCGCGCGGCTTAAAATAATTCCAGATTCCCGCACCAGATTTTAAAATGCCATAGGATAAGAATATAAACAACTAGAGCAGTGTCCAATATAAAATTCATATACTTGAATATGATTTAACTATTAAGACTTGAAAGAAATAAGCATGAGAAGCTTTCTGAGTTTTAAATGACAAAAAAGTAATATTTAAATTGATCAAGATACTAGTTCAAAAATTAATGATTAAAATTATAAAAATTGTAATTAAATTAATTATAAATAAAGTAATTTATTAAATCAGTCAAGACACTGATTTAAATCAGGTAAGTTAATTCAGATTTTCATAACCTACCCAGAAATAAACAAAGAGGTAAAAGAGTGTTTGAGGGAAGAAGTAAGATATGAAGATAAAGGAACAAAAAGGCATTAATGAGAGGGTGAATGGAAGAATAATGAAATCGAAATGGTGAAAACGCGCAAACAAGAAGCAAGTGACGTAGTTTAATTAATGCTTTTAAAAAAGCAAGTTACTCACTACTGACCAAACAGATGAAGCCTTTCTTTTGTCAATAAAGAGAAGCCCCCATTTATTGACAACGACCTCCCTCTCTGTCGTTTTGCGGAATAATTTCAAGACATAAACAGCTAATTTACTAAGGACACCCCATAATAAGACACGCACAACTGCAGGCATAATCTGCACAAGAAAAGTTGAAGGAAAAATCCCAAAGCTTTTCAGTGTTGCTCGCTGTCAAGGAAAAAATTATGGTTTTCTATGATGCCAGAGGAGCCCAACAAAGTCAATAAAAAGACACCGTTCCATGTCCTTTGTCCCAACCTAGGTGTGCCTACCACGTTTAGTGACCATTTAAATATCACAGTTTTAGACTTCAAAGTAATCTCAAACCTCAGTGTTATAACTGTTTTTTTCCATCTCTTGTTTTGTTTGGACGCTTGTGGGGTTTTGTGGGTTCCTAGAAGTGGTCCCCGAGAATACATCCAAGAGTCGCAACCACTACCAGAAATGGGTTTCCCCTCATCAAAACAAAGCCAAATTCCTGTTTTTGCTGTTTTCCCAGGCTCCAAACACGCCCCTCTACAATAGGGCATTGAGGAGATGACAAGAATTACTCCACTTCGATGTTGAAACTTGAAAGTGAAAGATGGCGAATTCCCATATTGATTCAATCTTTAATCTCCTACCCATCATTCTTCTTTCTCTTGACGTTATTCATGTCTTCTTCTGTTCATGGAGGGCTTTGGCTTTTCTCCCCCACCAGCCCCTTCATTACTCTTTAACAGTTCCCTAACTACGCCCAACAAACGACCTTGTTCCTCTTTACCAACATGTGTATCAACTTTTCGAGGCGACTTGACCTGACCAACGTAATTGCCCAGAGAGAGAGAGGGGGGAACCAGAGAATGAATCAAGTACTTTAACTCCAGTAATGGCTGGTAATGAATAATGCTTCGGACATGACTCATCCCGATGACAATAAGATGTAACATTAGTACAAGGAAAAGGAAAGAGCTGTGTGACAGCCGTGGAGTTGAGACAATTTAATATCGCAGGATACAGTGTAAAACAGTAAGAACAACTGCGTATAATGTTAACAGCTCGATAAAACTACAAGGTAAAGCCATATAAGATACAAGTCCATAATGATAATAATAATAATAATAATATGGGATTTGCTCCACTTTACATTAAGAAATTAGTGCTACGATAGGAACCCCGTTTCCTTAACCCAAAGTGACCGACTACCAAGCTTCATCCTCTATCTTCCTTCAGTGATTATGGTCACTAAGGATGAGCAGGGCAAGCTTGATGAACCCCCCACCTGACTGAACAGAGCTTTCTACTTCAAACTGCTGAAACTACCCTTCAGAGAGACATGGGCAGATAACAGACAAGAGTCCCGGAGTTTCAGAACTCTCAAATTGACCGCCATGGATGTTTACTATAGCAATTTTTATAACTAGTAACTACACACCATATTTATAAAGTAGCAAAGAGAAAAAGATGATACAAAAATAGAACCCATGTGAAGTGTGGCGCTTTTGTTATGTATGGCCTTGTTGTAGCAGGTAAGGTTAAGTGGTGGTTTATTAACTGTCTGAATTGACGAACTTGTTTATCTCCTCCATGAGGCAATAGAAATGATCATTATTTGGCAGGAAGTAGAAACCGATCGTAGCTTCTTTCAGGAAAAGGAGTCTGACATCTTGACCCGAATCCTTGAGACCTTCTACATATGCGAATTGCCAATCTTGGAGAAGGTCCAAACCAGCCACACAAACAAGACTTTTAGGGAACTCGAGTCCCCTGAGACTTTTTCCTCTGGGGCCAAAAGGGTTACACGCAGGGTGGTCTCTATCTTCACCTTCAGGAAGAAAAGCCCTCCAATACCAATCACGGTCTTGCAATCTCACGAAGTACCTCCCATCCAGTCTCTTCTCTGACTCCGTCCTCTTCTCTCCGCCAAACAATGGATGAAGAAGAATGTTACCCAGAATCTCAACATCCTCCTCGGCTGCCCTCTCCGCCACATGATGAACAATGTTGCCTCCAGAACTATCCCCGGCTAGGTACACATGAACCTTGGGATCTGTTCCGCTTTGAAGCCATGTTCTTGATTTCACCCATTTTAGTGCAGCCCAGCCATCTTCGTAGGCGCAGGGGTACCGGTGTTCCGGCGAACGACGGTAGTTCACGGAGACTACAACGGCCTTGCAAATGTTGACCAGGCGGCGGCAGAAAGTGTCGTAAATGGCGCTATTCGCGGAGGAATGAGAGAAGCTTCCGCCATGGAAGAAAATGATGACAGGGACAACCTTGGTGGTACTCAAGGGCTTTTCGAGCTCTATGTAGCCCCACTTAGCCTCGTTATCAGGAGCTGGTTGATAAACTCGATTGAACAGGCCAGTGTTTCGATCGACGTGATCAAAAGAGAATACTCCGTCGACTGGAATTGTGTTGGCAGGGACCTTCCGATCAAGGAACTCGGCAAGCTCGCGGTTCAATGTTCCATCTGCGCGACGAAGAAGATTGTAGGCCAGCTTGAAATTGGAGATGAGAACCCAGGTGTTGAGTGGAACAATACACTACAGCAAAAGCCAAGAATGAAGGTTTTGGTGATTAGAACGTTAATCAGAGATTTATTGAACTGCAGATTGACTATATTGATCAGACGACGATCCAGAAATGTTAATGAGAAAGATAAATGGGAAATTAATGCAGAGAAAGTAAAACAAACGGATGTATCCCTAAAGAAAACTCACAATCACCAAAAGAAAGATCAGAACTTTCAGCTAGCCGCACCAAATGAAACTCGAGTTTTCCAACTTACCGGAACAAGAAACCGTGGCCTACATAGAAGAAATGGAAAGTACAAGGGAAAAAAAAAATTCAAACCGACTCATGAATCATATCATCATCTTATTTAATAAAACCATGAAGAAAAACACCGCCAGCGATCAGAGAGAGACAGACGCATCATCAAGCCCTTGCAATTAAAGTTAAAAGATCAAAACTTTCTCCATAAACTTGAGATCATCAGGACCCGCATCACATAATTAGACAAGGAAAAGATGGGAGTAGAAAAGAAAGAAGCAGGCAAGGGACAAGCTCAACCAGAACATCTTTTTTCTGTCAAAATACCAAAATGTCATGTCCAATGATACAGATAAAAGGAAGGTAGGTACCTTGGATTCATTGAGGTTGAGTTCATTGCCACCAGCCATGTCTGTTTATCTCCCTAAGGACACAGCAGAAGATGAAGGGAAAGCACAGAAGACACCTAGACAACAAGAGCAAGCCAGGCAGGAAGAGGCACCCTTTTATGCCTCCTCATAATAATTATAGGAATTTGAAGACAACGAGAAGACGATGAAAAGGGGATTTAAGCGATGAAATGAGAGGAAGTAGAGGAGTAGGATGTGGGTCTTGTGATGGAAAGCGGGATTTAGGTGACTTGAGAAGAAGAGACACGACTATCTGGACAAAGGGAACAAAAGGAGCTGAGAAAGTTCAACGATTTCAGACACAGAGAGAGAGAGGTGGGGGGGGGGGGGAAGGATGAGAGAGCAAGAAAGTTCACAGGGAGCAGTGCAGGGAGAAACGGACAGAGAGAGGAGAGAAATAGGAAGAGGAGGGTCAAACGCAGAGGAGCGACGGGGATGGATGAACGGAGACGAGGGAGACGACAAAGCAGGCGGCCGAAATAAACTGTTTATGTGGGTCCCGCGCCCCTTATTTATTTCTCAATCCCATGCATATATTATTAAATTATCCTTTCTTCGGAAATTAAAATGTACATTGGCCAAAAATTTTGTATTATCTTAAATTGTAATATATTTTTAAATAAAATTTTATAAAATACATTTAATAATTTTATTTTTTAAAAAATATAAATATAAATTTTTAAAAATATTATTTATTTAATAATCTTAAATTTACTCTTAATTAATATTAAAGAGAGAGAAAGAGTAATATTAAAAAAAATTTATTTAATAAAATCTTAATTTTTTTAAAGTATTTTATATTTTTAAATGATAACTTTTTTAAAAGTGTGTTATAATTTATGACGGAGGGTATATTGATTTATTAATATTTTTAAAATGTAAAATTAATATAAATACATATTTAAATTATAAAAATATTTTAATTTATAATTAATTTTTTTATCATTTATATATATCCTTTTAGTAGAAGCAGTCTTGTTTAAAATACGACTGGATATTAAATGTAAACACTTTTTTTTTAATAAAAATTTATATTTTGATTCATGATATGGAATTTATAATTACTTTTTATAGAAGTAGATTATGTATTTTTAAATTATAAAAATTAACTATATTTTTTATTATTAATAAAATATATTCAAATGATGACTTGCATATATAATAAATTTAGGAAAACTTAAGTAATTTAACTAAAATTATAAACAAAATTATTTACAATTAATTTTTATGTTTACTGGATTTGAAAATTTGAAGTAAACATGTAGTATCATAGTTAAATGATTAGATAATTGATTTCCTCCAAAACATGACACACGTATCTCATTTTGTTTTTTGTTTGGGTGGCGAGAGAGAAAGCGATAAATGACCGGTGACTTGCGACCCGTGTACGAACTACAAAGCTTTTGTGGATGGCTATTGACAAGTCCGTTTTGGCTTCGTTTACAAGATGTGTTTAGGTTTTTCTTTTTTCAAAATTAAAATAGACATTCAGAACCCTTATGTTTGTCGTTACCCTAAAAGATTGCTCATATTATGATACAACATCAACGTCTCTATATTTAAAAAGAAAAAAAAACATCGCTGTCTTTAACTTTGATTTAACTTTTAATAAGTAATTATATACTCACTATTAATGTTAATAACTGAGAAAAAGGATAATGATGAATTTATGAGATTAAAGCATAGTAAGAATGATTGTGATTTGTAATCACGTGCCGATAAAATATTTGTAAAAATATAACACTCTTTCAACACTTTTAAACAAAATCAGACTTAATAATAAAATTTATTAAATATATATTTTATAACCTGTTTTTAAAAAAATAAAAAATTTTAAAAATAATTTTAATTAATATTTTATATTTTAAAGGGAGAGAATATAATGAAAATAATAATATTATAAAATATTGTTAATAAAAAAATTTTTAAAATATTTGATATTTTAATGCGTTTAATTTTTTTAAAATTATTTTATAATTTAAAATAGATGTAATATAGCTTTTGATAGTATGAAAATATAAATGAATGGTTGGAGGGGTCTCACTCTTTCAAGGAATAGTTTCGGCATTGGCTTGAACTCCACCGCCAGGCCATCAAGTGACATCTTCGTTATTTTTATGCTGCTGACATTTGTCAGCTTTCACCCCAATTAAAAACAAGATTAATTACAAGAAATGTGCAAGACATTTTAAAGTAGACAAAAGTTTAAGATTATATTTATCTTTCTAAATTTTAGATTTAAATTTTATTTAAACATTTGAGTACATGTTGATAAAAAAATAGCACAAAACTATTTTCCAACATTTTAAAACTTATGCCCTGCAGCTTAGCCTATCAATTCCAACATTCCCAGCTCCGATTAAATCAGTAAGGTGAGTAGGCAAAAAAAGGTAATATATGAATAGATTAATATGTAATTTGAACATTGAACTATATGTCGAAAAGTGATTTGAATCATATGCCCGTAATTAATACATTTGAATCTTGAACAATTAAAATAAATGCATACTTACCCTTACAGTTAATTTGAAATTTATAGCAGAGACTTTTTAAAAATAGTAGGGAACACATGGTTAAGAATTTAAGCTCGTAGCCACTCAAATTGATGGGCGTCACCGTGTCCTTTATCATAGACTAAGAAAAAGAAATCAACAATTAATCCTTCACCACTTCGGCAACATTCGTGGTCAAAGCCATTGTCTTCCCAACAAGCAAAAACATGAGAAGATTCAAAGCAAGGCCACAAAATAAATTGATCACGAAAATGACAAAGTCAGGGTGGAAATTAAAGGTTTCTTTCAAATACAAGTACCCTGTGTTCATCCATGGGATAGATAAGAAAGCCAAACAATAAGGAGCAATATAGTTGAGTGAAGTGATAGAGTTAAGAGAAATCCTTTTAGAATTCAAAAAAAATCTAGGTTGAAACCAACCGAATAGCCTTGAATGAAACCACTGTTGGAGACAGCAAATGCAGAGGTAAACAGCGAGCTACTAATTGCTCGAGTCATGTCCGGATGAACACTGTCCTTAAGAACTATTCCGGCACACTTGGACGATGGACCGGCAGTCCCCCAGGATTAAACGAGCACTTCCTGCGGCGGAGCAAGGAAACAAAACAGCAGAGACTACGAACAAAAACAGACAAACAGTAGATCAGAGGAGAGGACGAGAACGTTTTTCTATCTGTTCTGTCCGCACCAATGTCTATTTATAGGCTGAGGAATGAGACACAAACGTTGGGTTATAATTACCGGTTAATGCTTCGGTTATGCACACATTAAACAACAAACGTTCATGGATTAATGCTTCAGTTACAGGCCTTAAACAGCAGAAACGTGCACGTCCATTAATCCGAAAACGTTCAGCGTTCAACCTGGAGACGTTTGGCAGGCAAAATATTAACACACAGGATTCGGTTTTCAGAAAACTGCCCAATGCCTCAAGTTCAACTTGAAAACAGCTAAATCAGAGGTTTTTTGGGTAAGCAAAAATAATTATTTATTTAACCATTTTTTGTAAAAATAACCCGGTAAAAGGAACCCAGTGCCTCTTGAACTCGCGCGCAGGAGGGGCGAATCGGCTGATTTCAACTGCGATTGCCCTGAGTTGGCTTGTCTCATATGCGCGAGGCCACTTCTCCTCCAAGCCCATTTTACTAGCCCACTTCATTCCTTAGTATATATTCACTAGGAGATGTCTTCCTTCAGTCAATGTGGGACTTTGACACACACACACTTTTGACACACATACAACAATCCCCCACATGTGTCAAAAGGATCTATATTCATCTGCGTTATTCACACGGAGGATAATCACTTTGAATTTGATGTCTGTCGACTTGAACCAAACCTAGACTAATAAAACTTAGCACACAAAAAAATTAGTGTAACTCTGTTATTGAACCAACAGATCTTGAGCATGTGCTAGAGGTCTTATTAATCGGATTATACCCCCACAGTCTCTGCTGTTAACGACGGTTTTGCACGTTATCGGCCATGCGCTCGCCTGGTTTTAACAAATGCTCTAGAGATTTTGCCACGATCTCATAGGAGCGGCCCCACTCCACATTTGTATAGGTGTTTTCATCAAGTGTATCTGCAATGAATACACCATCCGTAAGGACTATGAAAACATTAAGAGCTTTCGCTCAGCCTCCGTTCAATGCATTCTAGCACTTTCTCAAGCCATAGGAAGGGACAAAATTCAGTGCTAGCAGAACTAACAAGTGACTTGTTCTTACCCATTGAACCTTCTTCATGGGATCTCCAATCACAAAGGTTGGGTTGCCATCACCGTTAATTTCAAATAGGCTTAAGTCCCATTCCCCTCGACATTTCAATAATAAATTTCTTCCCTAGGGGTTTAGTTAACGGATCTGCCAGATTTAACTCTGATCTCACATAATCGATTGAGATGATCCCGTCTTTAAGCAGCTGCCTTATAATATTATGTCTCAATCGAATATGTCTACTTTTACCATTGAAGGTCTTATTTTTAGCCGTTGCTATTGCAGACTGGCTATCACAATGTAAAGACACTAATGGTGTGGGCTTTTCACCTATTGGAATACTTGCTAAGAAGTTTTTCAACCACTCAGCTTCAGTCCCAGCCAGCTCCATTGCAATGAACTCAGAATCCCTTGAGGATTTTGTGTTGATTGCCTGTTTTGCTGACTTCCAGGTTATTGCACCACCACCAAGTGTGAATATATAACCACTAGTGGATTTTATCTCTTCTGAATCCGAAATCCAGTTAGCATCACTGTATCCTTCCAATACAGCGGGAAATCCACTATACAATAGACCATAATTCATGGTACCTCTCAAATATCTCAAAACTCTCACCAGAGCCTCCCAGTGTTTACTGCTTGGACAGTGAGTATATCTACTCAATCTGCCTACAGCATAAGCTATATCAGGCTTAGTAAAGTTCATCAAATGCAACAGACTCCCAATAATCTGTGCATACTCAGATTGAGCAACTGGGTCACCCTTGTGCTTTTTTAATTGCACACTCGAATCATAAGGAGTACTCAAAGGAACATCTTCAAGATGTCCAAACTTTTTGAGAATTTTCTCAACATAATGTTCTTGGGAAAGCAAGATTCCATTTCCGTTCCTTATGATTTTTACACCCAAGATTACCTTGGCTTTACCCATATCTTTCATATCAAAATTTAAAGAAAGAAAATTTTTTATTTCATTAACAACACACATATTAGAGCCAAAAATCAGGATATCATCCACATACAAGCATATAATCACACATTCACTATTCACAAACTTTGTATAAACACATCTTTCTACTTCAACAGTAGAAAATCCACCAGTTGTTAAAACTTGATCAAGT